GGGTCTAGACCCAAAACGTCAGCCTTCCTGCTCCTCTGATGCTGCTTGGCCTGCTGTGTTCATCCAGCTCTACACCTTGTTATCTCAGATTCTCCAGCATCTGCAGTTCCTACTATGTCTGAAACATCTTCAAATGAAGAGATTGGGTTTGCTGGTTTGGTACATTAAAAGCATTTAGGTCCAGGGACAGGTAGAAACTCCAGATAAATCACGAAGGTTGTGTGTGTGTACGTGTCTCAATATGCATGTGTGCCCAATGTGCATATAAATATGTATATATTTATGTATCCATTCTACGCTATTAGTGTTGATCTCTCCAGCAAGGGCTTGGTAATACTGCCAGAAGCTGAGTTTAGGGAGCTCCTGCTCATTCTGACATGGAAGTAATAATGAGGTTAGCTTGCAGTTTGTTTTTAGGTGAATCAGGGAGATATTAACTGAAGGAAAGCATCGAGCGACTGTGCAGGATTTCACAGGAACTAAAATCGACCCAGCTATACCAGCCTGACGAAGAATCTTTTGTGTAAAGATAGTGGCAAATCTTTTCTTGGCTTTAGTGTTTGTGAGGATATTGCTGGGAAGAAAGGAATGTTATTTGAAGCAGCAAGGTGACTCAGTGGTTAGCACTGCTGCCTCACAGTGCCAGGGTCCCAGGTTCTCACTCATACACACTTGGCACACAAAGTAAAAACTACCAAAGATTTTAAATCCATTCAATTGGTTAATATGTTATAAATGGTTAATATGTTATTAAACAAACGAACAAATCTCTAATCAGTACCCACATCAAAGAAGGTTAATCCTACAACAGCCCCTTAAAAATGTCAATCAAAATGTGAACTCAAACTCTCTGCTGAGACAAGTCATTGAGTCATATTAAATTCAATCAAACTTTCATAATGCCCTCAGTATATTACAACCATGAAGCCTATAAAATAGAAAGAACAGGTGGTTATGCTTTTCCTAAGTTACAGCAGAAGACCTGTCAATCAATGCACGCTGGAAACACAGATTTGGTTTAAAATTGACTCAACAGCCTTGTTTCATTCTTTATCAAAAGTCTGGGAATTTAAATAACTTCAGATCATGGCACTAAAAGATTATATTCCTCTTTCAACAGTGTTTCTGGCCTGCCATAATTTCCGGCCTCCCACACTGCAAATGAAACCTGCCATTTTTAAACGTCTCTGCGTTGTCCCAACTCAGACAGACAATGTGGCTCACTACCCTGTCTCCAAAAGGAAACAAATAACTTGGTGCAGTGTAATTACTTGGTTCAGAATACCTTACTCAGCTTGAATGGCATTTCCATTGTGTCTCGTTCATCAAACGTCTCAGCCCAGCTTCCTTTGAAGTAGATAGCATTCACCAACACAAGTCTAGTATCACTGTTAACTGAGCCGTCAGCCAGCAAGTCTTTGATTTTATCTGAATGGAATAAAATTCAGCAGATTCAGCACACTGGAAGAGTGCAAAACAAAAGGGAACAGTTTAAATCATTTGTAAATTTGTTTTTATAAATTAAAGAACTCAGGAAACAAAAAGTATTAAATTAACCGTTTCCAAACCTTTTGGCTAAAGTTTTGAAGACATTAGCTCTGAAAGATTATGAAAAACAGGAGTCTTTTCCCGCAAAATATCAATTAAACAAATTGTTTGAATGGCCTCCTTCTGCACGGTACGTTATGGTTCACTGGGGTAGTACTGGAAATCAAATCCCACAATTCCCAGAGTCATCACAAAGATTAAAAGATTTTTTTAAAAGAATTCCGCTATTTATCTTAATCTCATACCCAGGCTGACAGGAAGCATGGACTAGGTTTCTGTTCTGAACAAGAATGATTATTATACAAATAGGTAGACTTTTGTGACAAATAAACAATTATGAATTGGCAGCATGTAACTCAATTAGTTAACACTCTAATTCCCTTAAATGCCCCTGTACAGACACATATAGACCGATAGATAAAAGAAACATGGGTGGAAAAAAAAAACTGGGAAGGCAGTTCAGTGGTTCCTGTTCACAAGGTTTGCTGAGATGATTCCTGCATTGGTCAGAATGCTGCTTCTCAAATCTTCCTTCTCTGGATGTTTTCACTTACTTGCAGAAGGTATAGAATGACTCGTTCACACTTACAAAAGGTCTTAGACTGCTGATTGATAGAAAAATGAACTGGCTTTCAATTTATTTTTAAAACTGCAGCAAACAGAAAGCTCCTAAACCTCGGTAGATCTGAAGTCTTCTCCCCTTCTCATTCACAGCCCCAAGCTGTTCAACTACCTGGGAGCCAATCACATTTTTTGTTTTGGCAAGCAGAAGGCCTTTACCATCAAAAACTGGTCACTAATCCACAGTGAATCAGTGACTTATTGTCTGTTGAATCTCCATTGGTATACAGCCCTTGGATTCTAATTCATCTCAAAACCCCTATTATTGTTTATACAGTTGTAGGTTCAAGCAGTACCTACAATGAGTGTTAAGTTACTTGCTTTCTAAAATAAATACAGAAATCCTGAACAATCCTTAGTTTTTAAAACAATTTTTTCAGTACATAATCAAAAATGCAGAAAAGATGACACAGACTTCACAAGTAAATGGCCATCATTGTTTTGAATTGTGTCCGTCTGTTGTGTAATTGTCAACACTAAAAATTTTCCATATCATTCAATAACAAAATCATTAGCATATTATTACCTTGAACAGAAATAGTTTGTCCAAAATTATCAATGTTAGAGTCTATAATCCATACATATGTCTTTTCCTTGTGCCTTTGACCTTAGCTCAGTCTTTCAGGACATCTTTCTATTCCCTTTCGTCTCATTAACTCATCTACTTTCGTTTGTTTTTAGAGCATCCAAACTATTTGTCACAGCCATTTCAGAGTCGCACATTCTGGCCATCCTCTGTCAAAGAAAATTACATGGCAAGGCAAGGCTCAACCTGATAAACCTTTCCTGATACAAGGATGACCTAAACTGAGGGAGTAGAGTAAGTCTTTCTTATACTTCTTTTTCAGAACTAAAAGAGACTAGAATTGTGAACTGTACTGTTTTTAGGGTCTGAGCAGGATTCTTTACAAGTTTAATTTAACTTGACAACCATTGAATTCTATTCCATCGAAGTAGATTTTAGAGTGCAATTGGCAAGTTTAATTCAAACAAAAACAAATTGCTGGAGGAATTCAACAGGTCTGGCAGCAATCGGTGTAGAGAGAAACAGAGTTAAAAAGTTTTGAGTCCAATGACCCTGAAATCACTGTCAGTCATTTTGAAGAAGGGTCACTGGACTCAAAACTTTAACTTGATTTTGCAGTACACTGATGTTGCCAGATCTGATGAGCTTTTCCAGCAATTTATGCTTTTTTAGTTTCAGATTTCCAACATCTGGAGTTCTTTGTTTTGTCTTATGAAAGTTTTAATTGTTTTGCAAACATGTTGTTAATGATTTCCTGATAGCCTGAATCACAACATACCTTTGCTCTTCCACCCCTCATTCACTCTCTTACTTATTTTCCAATTGACAGGTAGCACTTTCGTTGCTATTATAGTGTACCACTTCATTAGTAAACATATTAAAGTTCGTTCTCCATAACATGGTTAGGAAGTAGCTCATATCGTATTATTTAATTAAAAATAATGCATTTGATTATTCTTAACATAATTATTTAGGATAAAAACTTTCAGAACCTTCGCAACCCGATCTATTGTCAGATACCAATGACAGGATTGGTACTATAGACTGAGAGTCTTATCCTTTGATCCACATTCATTTGGTTCTTAGAACACATCTACTTCTAGTCCTCCAGGAGTTATAAACAAAATCACAGAAATGAAGCATATTTGCAACCAGTAAGTGCTTACTAGCACTGTATCTTTAAGTCTCTGACCAATAATGAAATGTACCAAAAATATGGTTTTGTGACAAAACTAGGAGAGTGCACAGATGATTGGACCTTGCTGTATCACAAATTATATTAAATCCATTTAGACCACCAAGATGACCAATCTGCCTGCCTATGATTCAGGACAAAGGCAACTCACACTAGGTTTCATCATTAACATGAATATTTCTCTCTATTGTAATAAACTTTAACAAATGGCAGAAAAAAAAATTACTAATCTACTATAATGCAATTGAAACAATATCCTTTTAAAACCCCAAATATACACCATTTATCATCAAGACAAACAAAATACAGACACTTTGACACAAAAAATTATGGGTAGAAAAATATAGACAGGTAAAAACAAAGTTCTAAAAATCAAAAGTCCAGATGTCAAAGATGGCTTAAATTGTTTCTCATAGTTCCTCTTAAGTTTAGTAATGATGGCATGCTGTTGACTATGAAGCAATGAGTTTCCTTAACTTTAATAGTTGATCTGCTGGACCTAGATTTTTCTCTGTATTAGAAGGATTATTTCTTTTTAAAATTTCCTCATTTATCTGCCTTTTCACTCACCCTGAGAGAAGAGGGGCGATTTCAGATTTCTGGCTGTGGAGGTCTCTGGCTGCCCTGCACTTACCGACCTCTAACAAACTCTGTCAGGCAGTCTTTCCTTCACTCAACGACTCCTGGTGTCACTCTGTCTCAAAGTATTCCCCCACCCCTCTCACTGTTTTGAAAAGCGACGTTGTCTTGCACAGCTAAAAATGGACATCACGATGTTTCCAAGTTGCAAAACTCTCCTGGTATCTCAGCTCCACAGCAGTCATATTTCCATTCCAGTTTATGGTCCAAAAAGGTGTGGTCCCTTACAGAAAGTGACGTCATTGGTTTTATGTTCAGGATTAATGACTCTGAAAATGGCTATATTGAATATTCATAATCTTAATTTCCTCGATGCAGTTGCTCAAGGTATTGCTATTCTGGTTATGTCAAAATTTGTACCCTTTTCTGATCATAATAAGTGCCACATGAACCTTCCCAGTACAGGACCTTCTAACTGAATACCAAAGCTTTGGTAGATTAAAATGAAAACATAAAAGGAAGATTCCCCGTATTCTGTCAAATTAATGGCAAAGTTTACATTGAGGACTTATGCCCACTGTTTGAGACATCCCAGTCAGTCATTTTGGGGAGACCTTCATTACACTTCTCAAAAAGTAAAAGCAAAATTTGCTAACCCAGGGCAGCAGTCAGACTTACAAACGTAGGAATGGTATGAAATCAGTGTTGAAGAAACTCAGTAGGTCTGACAGTGTCTTTAGATACAGCCTGAGACCATGTTTTGAGTCTGCTAAGTCTCTTAGGTCATGACACTGTGTTTTCTTAGATTCAAAAGAAAATCATTTCAAAATGTTCACTTTGACTTTCTCTCCACGGAAGTCATCATACCTGCTACATTTCTCCAGCGCTTTCAACAGTAATTTGGAATCTCCACCACCTGCAGTACTATGTTTTTCTTTAATATAGGAATGGTACTCGTTCCTATTTAAGGACAGGAGCGGAACCTAAATGGCCGTCAGTGTTTTTGGTTATTGTGACTAACATTTGCACTTCTTATAGCTACAATCTGATTCCTCTCGTCTGCAGAAAGATGATCTAAAATTTCCAGAAAACATTGTTGTGCCCAGTTTTATGTTTTTATACTGAGGCTCTGTGCATTTTATCGGCAAACAGCAAAATGTAAAAATCATGAGTCAAATAATAGGAGATTCACATCAAAACTCACAGCCTAGGGAAATAAGAAAGAACCATGCCATAAGTTTTATAAAGTCCTGCAAATGTAATGAAAAGGAAAGCTTGAAGCCATCAAATTTATACTTGTGGACTTTAGGCACAGTATTTCTTAAGATAATACAGTCATGGAAGGTTTTGAATGTGCAATATGAATCATTCTGATGGTGTAAAGAAAATAAACTATCATTGTCAGTGAGGAGAAACTGGAAAAAGAAAAACATAATGTACATTATCATACAATGACTTTGTGTCTTGTTACGCTTAAGATTATGGATATTTAAAACTGGCATCTTGTCAGGAATTTTGCAACCTAGCAAAAGGTTGTGGGACTGTGATATTAGCTGGTATTGTGGTATGGTGCAGTCACTATTAAAGATCAATCAACTTCAGGTGTAGTATGAAATTGAACAGAATTTACACTCTGATCTCTGCAGATCTTTTTCACTGAAGTTCAGCAAAGCACCACTGTAAGACTATGCCTCCTGCATAAGTTTTCAGCTGAGTTAGGTGAATGTGGGCAGAATTGAATTACACTGAGCATCATGTAATAAAGAGTGCATCACACAGGAGACTGACTTTCCGGCAGCACAGGATATACACAAGTATTTTTGTGTACCAGTCAGAAAAGCTCCAGACGTCAACTAAAGCCAGTACATAAACTGGCTGGTACAATGGAAGTTTAATTGTTCAATTCAATTACTCAATTGATTTTTTAGAAAATTAACCTGTTAACTGTGCTAGGACATACTGTAAAACAGGTAGGACTTGAATCCAGGCTTTCCAGCCCAGAGGTAGGAATACTAATATTGCACCACATCAGCCAGAACATCATAAGACATAGGAGTAGATTCATCCCATCGAATCTACTCTGCCACTCGATCATGGCTGAGTTGTTTCTCCATCCCATTCTCCTGCCTTCTCCATGTAGCATTTGATCCCTTTACTAAATCAAGAAGCTAACTATCTCTGTTTTAAATGCACTCAATAAATTGAGCTGCACAGCCCTCTATTTTGTCCTCATCTCAGTTCTAAAGGGTTGTCCCTTCACTCAGAGGTTGTGCCCTCATCTCCTAGTCTCTCCTATTAGTGAAAACATCTTCTCCATGTCCATTCTATCTAGGCTTCTCAGTAGTGAGAAGTTTTAATGACATACCCCTCATCCTTCTAAACTCCATCAAGTACAGAACCAAAGTCCTCAAACACTCCTTATATGACAAGCCCTTCATCCCTGGGATCATTCTTATAAACCTCCTCTGGACCCCCTCCAATGCCAGCATATTCTTCCTTTGATTATGGGGTCTAAAACTGCTTACAATATTGCAAACATGGTCTGACCAGAGTCTTATACAGCCTGTGAAGTACATCCATACTCTTATATTCTCGCCCTCTTGAAATGCACACATTGCACTTGCCTTCTTAACTGCCAAATGAATCTGCATGTTAACCTCAAAAGAATCCTGATTTAGGACTCCTAAGTCCCTTTGTACTCGAGACTTCCGAAACCTTTCCCCATTAAGAAAATAGTCTACATCTCTTCTTCCTACCAACACGCATAACCCCACCGGTTCCTGCGTTGAATTCCATCTGCCATTTCTTTGTCCACTCTCCTAGCCTGTCCAAGTCCTTCTGCAGCCTCCCCACTTCCTGAACATGACCTGCCCCTTCACATATCTTTGTGTCATCTGCAAACTTAGCAACAATATCCTCAGTTGTTTTGTCCATAGTCAATTATTACGTGAATAGATGTGATTCCAACACTGACCTCTGCAGAACTCCACTAGTTACCAGCTGCCATCCTAACAAAGATTCCTTTATGCCCACTCTCTGCCTCCTACCAGTCAGCCAGTGCTCTATTAATGCCAGTACCTTGCCCCTAAAACCATGGGCTTTTATCCTATTTTAGCAGCCTCCTGTGCAGCACCTGGACAATGGCCTTCTGGAAATCTGCAATCTTCTTCTATGTTACTACCTAGCTTACCCTCGTATTACATCTTTTTCCCGCTTACTGCTTTAGTTGTCCTCTGCTGATTTTTAAAGGCTTCACAATACATGGTTTCCCACTAGTCTTCACCACTTTGTGTACTTTTGTTTTTATGCTGTCCCTGACTTCCCTTGTCAACACAGTTGCTTCATCACCCTTTTATTATGTTACTACCTCCTTGAGATGAATTTATGCTGTGCCTCCTGAATTATCCCCAGAAACTCATGGCATTACTGCTATAGTGTCTTTCCTGCTAGAGTCCTCTCAACTCTGACAAGTTCCTCCCTCATGCCTTTGTAGTTACCATTACCTGATAGACTGCTATTACAATCTGATTCAAGCATCTCCCTCTCAAACTGCAGGGTGAGTTCTATCATATTATGGTCACTGGTCCCTAGGGGTTCCCAAATCAAGTCTGCTTCATGCAACTGACCCCACCAGTCCATTTAAAAAGCATTTAATTATCATAGTCAGAACATGTTCATGATTTGAATGTAGCACTTCTTGCACGTTCATTCATTATATATCCTGAAGAAGGGTCATACTCCAGTTCAACAAGCCAACTGCTACCACTAAGACTTTAAAACCAAGGTAATCTGGCTGTGATCCGAGAGCATTAATTTAACAAACAGAAAAAGAAAGAATTGTGGATATTGGAAATTTCAAACAAAACCAGAAATAGCTGAAGAACCTCAGCAGTGTCAATGTTTTGGTTCCAGTAACCCTACTTCTGAACTGCTAAAGTAAGGTCACTGGACCCAAAACGTCAACTCCACTGTTTCTCCACAGATAGAAAAATAGAAAACAGGTGCAGGAGTAGGCTATTTGGCCCTTCAAGCCTGCACCACCATTCAATACGATCATGGCTAATCATGCAATTTCAGTATCCCACTCCCGCTTTCTCTCCATTAGCCGCAAGGGCTGCCAGACTTGCTGAGTTTCTCCAACTATTTCTGTTTCTGGTAGATTTAATTTACTGTTGCTACCAATCCTGATTTCAAGATTCAGGTCCATTCTATATAATACACAGAAGTATTCACACTGCTACAGCTAGAAGGGGAGGGAGGTCACCAAATTCACAACATCCATTCCATGTTCTCAAGAAGATTTCTTTAAGTTCACAACATCCAAAAGATTTTTACTTTCTTTGTGTTTTAAAGAATATCAATTCTTGCTTTACCCTCAGATTGTAAATAATTGAATAAGGCGGGAAAACTTACCTGCAGTCTGTAACTCCACCCACTTATTAATCTCTTGCCTTATTTCATTTGCAGCAGATCGGAAATCAACTGCAGACATCTTTTCTCCATAGAATTTCATGGAGGACGTAAAGAATTCCTGCACAATAGGTAATGGAAACACTTATATACATTTTGGAAGATTTCGAAGATTTGATTTAATGATGATCAAATAGTTGACCACTGGACTTGCTAGAAATTGGTGTATTGTCTGCATGGCAACATTAAAGCAGATTTTAAACATGTTTGATCCTGAGATGTAGGTGTTGCTGGCTAGACCAGCATTTATTACCCATTCTCAACTGCCCTTGAGAAGGTGGCAGTGATGTCTAGAGAAGGCAGATCAAATGACAGTGAAGGAGTGTTGAAATAGTTTTCAATCAGGACGTTGTGTAAGTTACCCTCCAAGTCACAGGTGGTGGTGTTTGCACGCATCTGTCCTTGTCCTTCTAAATGCTGCAAGTCATGGAGTTTGGAAGGTGCTGCCAAAGAAACATTGGTGAATTACTGCAGTGCATCTTATAGATAGTACACACTGCTGCCGACTCTCGGCAGTGAAGGGAATGCATGTTAAAGGTGGAGTGCCAATCAAGTTGAATGTTTTGTCCTGGGTGGCATTGAGCTTATGGGATGGTCATGGGAGCAACATTCATCCAGGCAAGTCAAGGCAATTCCATTACACTCTTGATTAATGTCTTGGAGAGAGTGGACAAGCATTAGGAAGACTGCAGGTGAGTTACTTGCCTCAGAATTCCAAGCCCCTGCCCCACTGTGAGAGCGACAGTATTCTGTTGGTTGATCGAATTTAGTTTCTGGTCAATAGGAACCTCAATATGTTGAGACTCAGATTCAACAATAGTAATTGTGATAAAAGGTGTACAGTGTATTATTGTTTGGAAATTTGGATTGCTAAAATAGAAGCAGCTAAGTTTTGCTTTCAGTTCTGTGAAGGAAAATGAGACTTGATTTCTTAAAAAAAAAATGCAAAAGAAAGATTGTTTGTAATCATGACATATAAACATTACTTCCAAATAAAACACATGATATAGTCAAGTACCCAGCAGGATATCTGTCTGTTAGTTCATGAGGTATTTCTAAAGTGGAACTATTATAATATACAGAAAAAAGGTTCCACCTTCATCCTAGGAAAAGGACCAAAACTTCAGTTCAGGAAGGAACAGTTTCATCTGAGCATCTGAGTTGTCTGCTGGTTTGTGAAGTCTCCAAGCCATGAGATTTTGTACAGAAGGGTTCAAGTTTCGGCCATCAGAACTGGAAAGAAGTGTAAAACTGTCCCAGAGGGAGAACCAGAAAGAGCCAGTCAAGGAAAGAAATTAAAGCAATGGGATAAGACTGATAGTTCTCTGGGATGAGTATCCGAAAAGGATATTTCTGGCGAAGAAGACTGAAACTTTACTGTTATTTTAACTGCTTTCTAAACCAATTATAAAACATTGTTTGTTATTATTTCTTTTATGTAATAAAGTTGTATTCTTGTGTTAAATCACATTGGCAGCCTCAAGATAATGTGTTGTGCTTAGTCATTGAACACAATTGCAAAAACAATAAACTTACTACCTGTCAAGCCAGATTTCATTTTGGGATCCGACTTGTTCAGTATTACCATCGGCTGGGATCATAACTTAATGCCATTGAATGCCAAATGGTGATGGTTAGATGTTCTCATGTTGGAGATGGAAATTACTTGGCACTTGTATGGTGCAAATGCCACTTGCTAGATAGCTGTAACTCTGTCTTTGAAAGGGTTGTTGTGAGAATCCACGTGCAGCACAACTGGAATGAAGTCTTCCAACCTAGTTACAGAGAACTGGAAGAATGTGGAAACAGGTGACCAACTCACAACTTACTTCTAGGAAGCTGTAGCTCTTCTCTCCATATAGTCGATTGGCCACTTTCAACAGATATGAAAAATCAGCTCGATTAATCTCAGATTGCATTTTCTGGAATCCAGAGTGGACATCTTGAACTTGATCAAAATGAAGAGTCTGTTATCAGAATAAATGCAGAAAACAAACATCACACAGGGAATTGTGACAGGGGCTACAAGTTATCATCACCTATTTTTAAGATCAGCTCAAACAGGAATGAGGAGGAATTTCTTCTCTCAAGGGGTAGTGAATCTATAGAATTCTTTACTGTAGAGGTAGAGTTGTTAAGAATATTCAAGGCTGAGGTAGATAGATTTTTAAAACAGTAAGATGATCTTGCATTATGGGGGTGAGGAAGGAACATAGAGAACACAGAGATCACATCAGCCATGATTTCATTAAATGGACTGAATGGCCTACTTTTGCTCCTATAGCTCATGGTTGCATGGTCTCTCTCTGTCATTTTGGTTCCTGCTGGTTTCCTTTGCCCCTTTCCTGCAGGCATTTATTCTGTGCTGGGATGCTATTCTGCACTTGCTGATCACCCTCCTGTAACTCATTACGAAGCCATTCTACAGGTCTAAGACTAGAGAGCAGTTGACAGTCACGTACTCAACCACAGGGCAAGTCAGGTAAAAAACAATTCTGCTCTCAGCCAGCATCCACCCATTCACAGCAGTAGAGATCATTCAGTAGTGATTAGAAGCAGGAAATCCTGTTGATGCTCCCATCCATAACGATGATGATTCCACTTAGATCGGGTAACAGCATCAACCAAGCATTGAATAGGATCCTCTTGTTCTGGGAGGCTCAGCCCCCTCGCTTTCTGCTCTAACCCACTGATTTAGCAAAAGCAAAAAAAGTCATTTCATACATACTTTTGCCATTTGAGATGCAGTGTTATTTTTTGCTCCAAGGTAAACCATGGCCAATGCGGCAGAGATGCTGAATGGAGAAAAAAAGATATTGCCATCTCGATTGCTTTCAGTCAGCTTTCTGAATAGGTCAAGAGTGAAAAGGCAATTTGCTTTGCTCAGCTCCTCCATGGTGTGTTACACTGCAAAGAAAATAAATATAAAACACAAATGCTGAGAATAACAAGGTTCTCGAGAAGGTTAAATGAAATACGAGGCTGTGAAACTGAAGAAAGAACTGGCTAAAGAAATCGTAATCTGGGTGTTTGCAATGAAATGTTTAGAACTGTGCTATAAAACTGGACACAGGCTTTTACTTTTTATATGTCCAAGATGAAATTGCTGAAGTCACCTGAGTTAGTTGATGAATACTTGATGCAAAAGTGTCTGTCTTCATTGCATTCATATTGCAACACCAGCTTTTAAGTCAACATTGGCTAACTGCAAAGTACAAAGTAAACTGCTTCACTTTAGGTGAAGTAGATGATGTGTCACATTAATTTTGGCAGTTATTGGGAAACAAAAAGGTGAGGCGCAAATGCAGATTCTTGGAGATAGCCATGGTAAATAACACATTACATGTGGTTAAAAATTAAATGTTAAAGGCATTAAACACCATGTTTGTATCACGAAAGAGATACAGACCTCGCCCAATTTTTTTTCTAGTACTGTATTTTAAAACAGAAAATATCTTCTAAGACAATGTTCTGATAGATTTATCTATAGCAGCTATGAATCCTAAACTGGCATTAGTCAGTAAATTATAGAAGGTAAAATGCACAAATGGAAAGTTTCTTCTATTCTTTGCTCTTTTACCACAGACCACACAAACATGGATCATTTTAACCAGATCCACCAACTCCATAAAACAATGCAGAAAGATTACTCAAAATTCGGAAGATTAATAAAAGGCATTGGAACAAAAGTGATTGATTAGTATAACAGGTGAGGGGCTGAACAATCAGGTCATTGTCTTATCTTTCAGCATTAGGCCATTGCTTTTAACTTCTTTGAGTAGTTTATTAATCTGTGGTTATAAAACAAGTTACTGAACATGCAGTATCACATAAGAACGACTCATCTTTATTATATTGTGTTCCATTGTCCATCATTATCACCACTTCAGTCAATGGTCAACCACTGTTATTCATGTTTCACCTCTTGCCAAGTCTGAACAGCTAGTAAAGGAAGCTTTGAAAATGCTCCAATTCTGCTTTTGTCTGGTGAGCTCAGTCATGTATTATCTTGAAGTTAAGGGTGTTGAACGAATACATGCAGAAGCACACATTGCTTTTTAGGCTCTGTAATCCCATGTTGCTACACGTCATTCTGTTCATAAAGCTTGTATCAACCATTGACCTTGATTTCATTGAAAAGAAACCACAAAATGGGATGCAAACACTTGATCATCCACTGATAGTTTCTGAGTTTCCATCACTACCTTCAAATATTTTTCCTTTAGCAAATATTACGTTATGACAAGATACATCAACAAATAACCAGATAGTTCCAGATAAAGAAAACCATTCAATCCTTATTTATTCGTTCATCCATAAATGTCTTACAGTTTTGAAATCTTAAATGCATCCTGAGTTTTCACATGCACCACTTTGCCTGGAAATTTATACTTACTGTTCATCACTCACTTTCTAGTTCCCTTGCTGTCTGACTTGTAGCTATTTCCATAGCATTCACAAGACACCTATGTTCGTTATTTTTGCAGAGGACTGTATAGCACTGAAACAGTATTTGGCCCACACAAGCTTCCTCCCATCTTACTTCCCCCTGCCCTATCAATACAGCTTTCTCTTTCCTTCTTCATCACTTACTTGTCTGGCTTCCATGTAAATACATCTGTGCTCTTTTTCATGATCACTCCATGCTGCTACACATTTCATGTTCTCACCACTCTGAGTAAAGAACTTCTGCCTGAATTATTATTTCTCATTCACAGCATCCTGGTTTTGAACTCCCCTACAAATGGAAACATCCCAAACACCTTCAAAATTTGAACTAACTTTCTTCTGTAACCTCTCTAGCCTCATTTCTGGGGAATAGACATCCCTGATAGTTGCACCTTCTGCTGTAGTACCACTCCTGTAACTTTAGAAAATGTAAAAGTAAAGGGCTTCCAGGTCCTTTGAAACATGGAGACTAGAGCAGCACACAGTCCTTCAGGTGTGATTTCTCCAAGTTCTATAAATATTTGATTTGATTTATTGTAGTCACATGTACCTAAGCAGAGTGAAAAGTGTTTTTTTGCAAGCAGTACGTGCAGATCATAGCAAACAAGGGCATACAGATCCTAGGGTACTTCGACAGAGCAAGGTATATAAGGTTATAGCTGCACAGGAGATGCGCAAAGCAAGATCAACATTATCAAGAATATTAATGCTTTGAATTATATTGCATCTGTTGCTTCCTACCTTCAATTTGATTAGAATTTATTTTGACAATTTACTCCGAATTCCCAGATTACTGAATTCAACTCAAAAGTTCACGAGGAATTTGTTTCAAATGTGTTTTAGAATCCACGTGTACGAGACCATGTTGCATTCTGATCTGCATTTGAGATGTTGCTTCCACCAAGCAGGTAAGCATAATAAAACGTGATCATTCCTTTTATATTGTGTACTTTTCATTAGCTTGTGGACAGATCCTCAAATATACTTCTGCAGTGTGAACAGAGTTTTAATTTCCTGTCTAGTTTATCCCCTTGTTTGAATACTGACCACCTAACAGCCTCCCCAATGTCTAACAACTCCCTCAAATGCCCCAGCATCTGCAGTTCCTGCTATCTCTGAGCCTCTCTGCTCCTATGATGCTGCTTGGCCTGCTGTGTTCATCCAG